AAGATGATTTCCCGTTGGAGAAGATCGGTGTATTTGCGGGAAGTTGTATTCGCCTTGCGAATTGCGTCCGCAGCCTTTTCGCGAACTTCTTGCAGTTCTGTTACAGATGTTTGTGACCGCGGGACCGGATTGTCGAGTGTAGTCGTTGTAGGCACCGTCGGGTCCATCCCGTAATTTAAGAAGAACGGGGAGTGGTTAGTCGTGCTGGACGGGGCGTTGTTGAACGCGAACTCAAGCATGGCGAGCGAATTTTCCCAGCGAGCGGGGTCGGGGAAGTCTGTCCTGATCAACTGCTCCATGGTCTGATTGGTTCGCTCGGTCTGGCCGTCCGTTTGCGGGTGGTATGCCGATGAGAACTGTAGCTTCGTGCCGTACTGCGCCCACGTTTCCTTCCAAAATTTCGACGTGAACTTCGGGTCTCGGTCGCTGATGATCGCCGAGGGGATTCCGTGCAGTCGCACGACCGTTGAGATGAAGAGGCGCGCGGCTGTGATTGTTGTACGACACGGTGCGAAGTGCGCCATTTTCGTGAGACGATTGACGACGACGAGAACAGCGTCGTTGCCGGACGGTCCAGCTGGCAGCCCCGTGACGAAATCCATCGTCACTTGTTGCCACGGTCGCTCTGGTGGCTCGAGGGGTTGCAGCAATCCAGCCGGCCGTTGACGTGTCGATTTCATGGCTTGGCACACCCTGCATGAGGACACATATCGTTGCACGTCGTTAGAGGAGTCAGGCCAATAGTATTGACGATGCAACAATTTCTGGGTTTTGTCACCCCCGAAATGTCCGGAGAAGTTGGAATCGTGGACCTCTTGGATAAGAAGTTCACGCAGCACCCGGTAAGCGGGAACCCAAATCCGGTCAGTTCCGGCTTTTAGGTAATAATCCCCTTTCTGTGTCGTGGCCTGCTGATGATTTCCAGTCGTGAAGAACGGGTCCGTAGCGTAGCCGTGGGTGAATAGTCCGGTAAGTAACGGGTTCGAATGGGTAATGAGTACTGCAGCGGATTGAACTGTCGGTCGGGTAAGGGCGTCGGCGATGTTATTCGCCCCTTTCTTGTACGTGATGCGGTAGGTGAACTGGCTCTCCATGTAATCCAACCACCGAATTTGTCGCGGGTTGAGGTTGGGCTGAGCTCACAGGTACTGTAGGGACTTGTGGTCCGTGCGAACAGTGACATCGGCGCCCACCAGGTAGCAGCGCCACAGTTTGAACGCGTGTATAACGGAGAGCATCTCCTTGTCGTAAATCAGGTAGTTGCGCTCGACTGCCTGCAGCTTGCGTGACTCGTAGGCTATCGGCTTCAGCCCGTTCCCGAAATCTTGGAGTAGCACAACTCCGATGGCGAAATTGGAGGCGTTGGTGAGCGGACCGGTTATCCCCGCCATATTCGGGATAAACCGCCGGACGTAATTCACGAAACCCAAAAAGCTTTGAAGTTCCGTGACGTTCGTCGGGGACTTCCACTCCTGTATCGTCTTGATTTTTGCCGGGTCAATTTTGATGCCGTCGCGGGAAATGACGTGGCCCAAAAACTCCAACTCCTGCTTAAAAAACTCGCACTTAGAGCCCTTGGTGATGAGGCGATTCTCCTGAAACCGCTTAAACACTGCGTCAAGGTCACGTAGATGCTGCTCCCGTGTCCTGCTAAATATGAGGATATCGTCCAAGTAGACGATGACGCATCGGTCCAGAAGATCCCGAAATACCCTGTTCATGGTTAACTGAAAAGGCGAAGGCGCGTTCGTGAGGCCAAATGGCATCACCGTGAATTCGTAACTGCCGTAGCGGGTTCGAAACGCGGTCTTGTGGCAATCGTCGGCGAAGACCCGGATCTGGTGGTAACCGCCACGCAAGTCAATCTTCGAGAAATAGCGAGCACCGCGAAGTTGGTCGAGGAGGTCGTCGGGAAGGCGCGTTTGTGAGGCTGAATGGCATCACTTGGAATTCGTAGCTTCCGTAGCGGGTTCGGAACGCGGTCTTTTAACAATCGTCTGCGAAGACCCGTATCTGATGGTAACCGCCACGTAAGTCGATTTTCGAGAAGTAACGAGCGCCGCGAAGTTGTTCGAGGAGGTCGTCGGTGCGTGGGATAGGGTAGCGAGACTTGATTGTAACCCGGTTGAGCGCGCGATAATTGATACACATGCGAAGCCCGCCGTCTTTTTTCGGCGTGAATAGGATCGGGCCGCGTAAGGAGACGTACTGGGTCTGATAAACCCCTTCTCCAACAAGCCATCAAGTTGGCTTCGCAGCTCCTCGAGTTCCGGTTGGGTCAACCGCCACTGTGTACGAACAGTCGGCTGCGCGCCAGGTTCCAGCTGTATTTTGTGGTCCTCGGGGCGTTCGGGTGGCAGGCCAGGTGGCAGGTCGTCGGGGAAGATGTCCGGGTACTGTCGTATCAGCTTCGCTAAATCCGGCGGTACAGCTGCACGCAGCTTCTCGATGTCTTGTCCGTCGGTGTCGGTTGCCAACTCGCGCAAACATATAGCGTACAGCTGCGCGCCCCTGTTGAAGACGCGAGCTATAGTGATAGCTTTGACGCACGGGGCTTGGATGTAGTCAGGTGTCCATGCAGGCAGTTTAACTAGCCCCTCGTGCTTGTTGATGCAGCACGATCCCGTTGTCCAGTCGATGACGGGGTTGTGCCGTCGCAGCCAATCACGTCCCAGCAGCACGTCGCAGCCATCCAGTGTAGTCGCGAGAAACTTCATGCTGAAGCCGAAAATGTCGCCGCACTCGATCCTCACCGTCCGTGTTTCTTCTAAAATCGCCAGAGGCGTCCCATCCACGAGGCGAGCGTCAATTTCGGGCAGACACCTGTCAAGTTGCAGCTTGCTTTTTGCTGTCGCCAAGTTGAAGAGGCTATGGCTGGCCCCTCCGTCGACGAACATTTTCAGAGTATTTTTTAACACTGTGCCAACGACCAGCACAGGGTGATCCACATGAGTATCCCCGTTATTTGGCCGAGTGCGATCGATTGCATGAATCGGAACCACTACTCGGTGGGGATGTTGGTGTTCGGGCGACGAAGCATAGTCAGTAAGGGGCCCGTAAATTACTGACTTTTCCCATTTCCCTGCTCCCTCCTGTCGTTCCCCTTCGCCAGTGTTTTCTCGGGGCATTCTCTTGCGTAGTGACCCGTCTTCCCACACTTAAAACACGTCCCTGTAAAGGGGCGGTCTGGTGCGTGGACTACGTTGATTGTGGCCCGTTGGGTCTGTCCACGAAAACGGATTCCCTCCCGGGAACCTGCCCTCGCATACTGCATCAACGCGTCTGTAGACTCAGCTAACCGTATGGCTTCCAGGAACGAATTCGGGCGGCATCGGCGCACTTCGTACTGTATCTCGTATTTCAGGCCGCCGATGTATTTATCTAACCGCTCCGCTTCCGCCATGTCGCCCACTTGGTCAGCAAAGGCCATAAACGACGCCGTGTAGTCTTGAACAGATGCCAACTGCGACCAGTTACGCAGCTTCATGCGAGCTTGCTCCGAAGCGGATACGTGCTCGAAACGATCTCGTAAGGCTGCGCCCCACTCCTTCCACGTGCGTATCTTGGTCACTCCGAAGATTGAGGTTGCCCCTTGATTAGCCGATGTCAAGGTCCCGTCTGCCGCATGTGTCACACCTGTCGGAGTCCCTATGTCCAAGGTGTGGCGCCACCATTCAGGCGCTGCGCCTCGAAGTAGTGAAACCGCGTAATTAATACGCGTGGCATCGTCGTAGACGTTCGCTGCAGTGAAGAAGACTTCAACGCCGAATAACCACCCCTTCACTGTAGTCGTCTTGTCCGTGGGGTTGAACTGGGGCGGGTTCGCAGGTTTAATCTTGATCGTCGTAACTGCAACTGTCGTCGCTGCCGCTCGTTTCTTGTCTTCCTCTCCGAAGCTACGTGTGAGCGCGTCCAAAGGATTGCTCATCGCTTGACTGTTGCCTTCACCTTCTTCATCGGGCGGCTCCTGACGCGTTTCACCTCGCATCTGGCGTAGCTCGGTGTTTTCCACACGTAGTGTTGTCACTTCTGCCGAAAGACTCTGCACTGTTGCCTGTAGCTCTTGCATTTGCGCCATCATCTTGTTCAACGCTTCCTGGTCCATGAGTCGCACGCTTCGTCTGGTGGGCAGAGGGGTATCCGTGGCCTTGCAGGCAAGGGGAAAGCAAAAACTATCGGAGTCGGGCAGGTTAGAGTTAACTAACCTTGCAGCCAAACGTTTTGCAGTCCTCTTTACCAAGCCAACCCGTGCCACCAAACTACCCTCGAAAAGCGGGGTGAACTAGGAAAGTAGCTCTGATACCAGGTGTTATGAGTTGTAATGGAGAGTGCGCGGAATAACGAATAACGAAGCTGTGACTTAATGAACTGTCGATTACAATGAAGGCACGCGATTATATAGTGAGTGTCCTAGCTAGGAGGGAACCTCGGGAAACGAGGTTGGGTGCAGGTTTGGCGACGGAAAGCCGAAGGCGACGCGGAGGAGCCTCGGCATCGTTGATGTGGGCCGAACGTGCGAAGTCCGAAAATCGGGGTTGTACGCGTAGCAGTCAACCCTGGTAAGGATAAAGGAAAATTTCTTACAAAGAACGAAATACGAACGCGCTGGACCCGCCCCAGGAGTTTTCTGTACAGTCATTCCCTTCGGTTTTCCCAAAGGTGAACCGACGAGCCCTGGCCCGACCTTTGTCGCACAATAGCGTCGCTGAACAAGTGAATGTACACGCGCCTTGACGGGATTGGGTGTCATTCGTCAGCGTTTGGTTTTTGTTCCGCGATTGGCTACAATTGAGAGACTCGTGCTTGGTTCAGCCTACCAAACGAGGCTCTCTTTCAGAATTCCCACGAGAACCTCTGTGCGACGCGGACCAACCGACCGTGCGACAAAGGAAGCTACTACCCGAGACTCAAATGATCGCATCGCATTGCTTCTACCAACCCTTCACAAAACATCCTCACCTCAACCTTTGAGCCCTTTGTCAACCTTGTTGTGCCTGTCCATGGGTTCTCCTCCAAGCTCTCCGCCTCTCCGCAACAACTCACCTGTGGTAGCAAGCCACCTGGTACCGCAATTGTCACGCCGACACTCCAGGTTCACTGGGCTTCTGTTTCTCTTCCTCGGCTGGCTGACGGTAGGTGTGTTTTCGTATCTTGCTTCCGCTCACACGTGGTTTTTTTTCAGGTATGACAGGTGGAAACCCTCGTTTCAAGGTGCAAGGAGTTGTGTGGCCGGTTTTGCTGATCCTGGTTCCCCTGCCTCTCCCCGAAACTGTTCCTCTCCGATCTGTACACTTTATCCTGACACAGTGTCGCGCTTCTTCCTGTTACGTGGCATCCAAACGACTTTTCATTCGGCCTCCTTTGGCTTTCGGCGCCGGTCCAACTTCAGCCACGTAAGTTTCCCGCTGTTTGGCTTCCCCGGCCCACCTCAACTTCTCCCTTCCTTCCCAATTTCACCCGTGCGCCTGCTCACTGCTCGAAGTCTCCCTCTACTCGACGCGTGGTGGTTGCTGGGAGCATGCAACCTCTCCTCCTGGGCCACCCACCTCACCGCCACCGCACTGAGTGGAACTATCGCAACAAGGCCGTGTACACTTGACTTCCCTGTGCCTGCATGGCTCTCCTCCTCGTCAGACTGGCACTCTTACACGCCAGCTGACTTTTTCAGTGCCTTAGCACTTGATGCCGCTCACACTTTCCCTCGTGAGCCAGTCCATCACCCTCTGTTGTGCCATGGCGAAAGCCCTCGCCAACTCGCGCCGCGTGCGTTCTTCTTGCCCTCCGCTCGTTGTCAATCTCGCACCTACGCGCCTCGTCGGGCTCTCTGGCGCGTCCCCGTATATCCGTGGCCAAGAAGGTGTGCAAAGCCGCCTCTTCCTCCTCTTCCAAGCTACCTGGCGCGTCCCCGCGCCCGGTTTCTACTGCAAACGTGGAAGTTTCATCCGCACCTTCTCTGGGAGCGCCTGGCAAGCGTTTCCGTCGCCTCTGTGCGCTGCGCGACACGGTCGGTGAGACTGTGACTGATGTGAAACGCGACCTGGATACTCTCGTCACCATGATTTTCCCTGTGCACCTCGCCGAACAGCATCGCAAGGAAATTGTTGCTTTTCTCAAAAAGGGTCTCCGTCGCTCTGACTTCAAGAACTGGCAGATTCCCCTCGTTAAGTCGATGGCAGGAGAGAACCTGAAGTTCGGCAGGAATACCTACGCCCGGCAAATCCTTCAGTTCCCCAACAAGGAAGCGGCTGAGGCCTTCGCAGGCCGCCCCCCGATCTTCTATCCTCTCCCCCACGGTCCTGCTGTTGAACTCAAGGTCTACGTCGATCCCGCTCCTGAATTCACTGCTGCCAAGGCGCGTGGCGAGACCCACATCGTCATCCGCAACATCCCGCTGGGCCTCACCGAGGAGCAGCTGGTTGGTATCCTGTTGAAAGGCAAGAACCGTGATGGACAGAAGTGGATCTCTGAGCTCCTGCACTTCCACACCGCCTCCGACCCTTACGAGGAGATGTTTCAGCTGCAGATGCATGGCATCGTCAAACCCATGATCGGCGATGAGGCTTTCAGCGTCACCCCGCCGGTAATCTGGATTGACGACGTGCGCGAACCTGTCCTGGTGAACCTCTCATGCCACTCGTGTGGCATCTGCTCGAGCAACCACCGCACCGGGGACCACCACGTGTTCCCTACGATGCGCTGTAACAAGATCAACAACCCACACTCGATCTCGGTCGCTCAGCTACAGAATGTTAACTGTACGGCCGTGCTCCCTTCCCTCGCTCCCAGTCTTACCCGCGCAAGCCCGTTGCTCCTGTTGCCCTTACGGTATGCCGGTCTTGTCTTGTCCCTTTCCACGTCAGTCGCTGTCTCGTCTGGGGCCACATGCTCTGTAACATACATCCCTCTCGGCCCGTATATCACGGGCTTGTGGCTCTCACTTGCGCCCCTCTGTCCCTCTTCAACTCCGTGTGTTCCTGACAGCCAAAGCACTCGGGCATTCGCCTGCCGCCAACCGAATCAAGCAGGACCTCGGCCTTCTCTTCATCGGCCTCGACAGCGAGGTCGAGGTCTGGACTTGCTGCGCATGCGACTTTATCTGTGGCTGGACTATCGACACGGCCCTTGCTCACGGAGACTCGCCACAACACCTCCGTCGTCTGCAGACGTCCGGCCCCCTCCTGAAAGAGGAGTTCGGGGACCTGAAGGCTCAGGAGTTCCTGAAAAAGAGCGACTCGCTTGTGCAATTCTTGGGCGAGGAATAGCACGTCTATGGATGAGCTCCATGTTGTGCTTTGCTGTCGCACTCAGTGATTGTGTGGCAATGACTCTCTACGGTTGTGTGTCTCAGTTTCACAGGTTGCTTAGGCCTAATTTGTGCTTCATGCCAAGTCCCTTCCTGTTAGGCTGGGCTGCTCATACCTGTAACCATGTACTGTCAACTCTGAGCAGAAGCTGCACTTCGAATGTCTGTCCCTCCTCCCACAATGCCTTGCACCCCGTGGATGTGTGTGCCATGGCACACTGGGGTTTAACAGGGGTTTTAAAATGAATACACAATTATCCATCCAATGCATCAACATAAACGGTCTTAATTCAGTCGATAAAATGGATGAGCTGAAAGGATGGTTAGTCAACCCCCCCGATATTCTTGTGCTTATTGACACACGCCTTTCCACTAATTTCATGAAGTTACGCTATAAACTCAAACCTACGGCATACGCGCAAGTTCCACCAATTGCTACGCCATCTCAAACCTTTCCCGGAGGTATAGCCATACTTGTGTTCAATCGTCGAGTTAAGCTTTCAGATAAGCTTGCCTCTGCGGATGGACGAATCCTTAGTGTCCATTGCAATTTTTTGAATGAACAATTTCGTCTCATTGCCATCTACGCCCCCTCGTACTATCTCGAACGGAAAAGCTGGTGGACGGAAGCTGTTGAACCTGTGATGCAAAAATCGACCTCGAGTGACTGGACACTCTTAACTGGAGATTTCAATAATGTCCTTAGCCCTCTTGACCGGAACCGGCCCCTGCGCGCATACGAAAACACAGAAGCAACACTCGTCAGTAACTTGTTAGAAGCTGCGGAGCTCACATATACATTCCGGCTACTACACCCCACCTCCCCAACCTACTCCTTTATTGCTCCAGTTCGACAGAATCCTCCTCGGTATAACCCCCCCCCTTTTGCTCCCACTCCTGGCCAAACGCCCGCCCCACACACCTCCCAGGCCCAACCCCCCGCACCACCAACCCCTCCTCCACCCCCTGCCTCACGGCTGGACCGCTCTTACATCTCCAAGACGGTGGCCAGCAGACTCACTGCGGCCTCTTACACCTTCGTACAGGACACCCTTTCAGATCATGGGAGAGGTCCTCTGTGCTCTATCTCCTTCCACAACGCGAACGCCGCCCATAGACCATGGCGCCTGCCACAGCATCTTATCCATAAACCACATGTGCACTCTCTGGTCAAAGACTTTGTCACGTCACTACCCTCCCCCCTCCTCCCGACACAATGGGACGAATGCAAACACTCCTTGGTGCTTCAGCTCAAACGATATACACGAGAAGAGCGTATCCGTGTTAGCAAGACGTTCACCTACATGCAGGACGACATTTGTCAACTACAACTACATCTGTTGAAATTCCCTGATGCAGCTGGAGTCGCCTCCCGGCTAGAGCAACAACTCCAACGTCTCCGTGCATACACGACCACGCGCGCCGCAGAAATCGCACTTAAAGCCAAACTAAAAGTTGAGGGACCCCGGGAAATGGGAGTTGCTTCCCTTATGGCCAGTCTCAACAAAAGAATCAAGGACTCACAGATTCCCTTTCTACAACTTCCGTCGGGAGAAAAAGTGGACACTCTGCTCCCCATGACCCAGCTCTGCACAACCTTTTTCTGCAACCTATACAGTGGAAGTACACCCATCTCCCCCTCCTCCACCTTCTGGCAACACATCTACCCATCCACACTTCCCCTCTCGCTCTGTGCAGACCTCTCGGCACCTATTGGCTCACCAGAAATCGAGCGTGCCGTCGCTGCTCTGGCCAAAGGGAAAACTCCTGGCACCGACGGCTTACCTGCCGAGCTTTTCCGCTCCCATAAAACCATGCTGGTCCCGGCCGTGCGGAAACTGTTTGACAGCATTCACGCCCACAATGCCATGCCACCAACCCTGTGCGAGGGTCGCACCATCCTCATCCCCAAGAAAGGGAACTCTGCCCTGGTAGAGAATCTCAGACCAATCACACTGATGAACACTGACTACAAAATTCTGGCTATCACCCTTGCTAATCGGCTTCAAACTGTTCTTCCCCGCATCATTCATCACTCACAAACCGCATTCATCAAAGGTCGACGGATCGGGGACACTATCAATGATACGCTAGATATTATCGACTGGGCCAAACATCAAGCTCTACCTCTGCTGGTCCTCACGGTCGACATTAAGAAAGCATACGACATGGTAGACAGAGAGTTCCTGTTCCGGTGCCTCGCACATCTTGGCATCCCCCCTGAGTTCATCACGTGGGTACGACGACTGCACGCTCACTCTCACACACATGTGTCGGTCAACAACTCGACTGGCCCCCGTTTTCAAGTACGTACTGGGGTAAGGCAGGGATGTCCGCTGGCCCCGTTACTCTTTGTATGCGTTATTGAAGTTCTGCAACGACACCTCGCCGCAGCCTTGCCTGGCTTCGCAATTTCACCTTTACAACGCCGACTGATGGCCAGCTACGCAGATGACGTGTCGATTTTCCTTACCTCTGACCTCGAGCTCCAGACGGCCAAATCATGTCTTGAATCTTTCGCCCAATGCTCTGGGGAGCATCCCAATTGGAGTAAATGCGCAATTTTACCTTTCAACATGGACTCTCACACCATTTCCAACGCGGGACATATCCCTATCCGAAGGGCGAATGAAGCTGAAAGAATTCTGGGCGTCTACATACAACAAGATTCCCCAGGACAAACTACCTGGGATCACATCCTCTCAAGGGTACGCACCTCGGCGGACTCACTATCCCGGCTCCATGTCACGACAACCTGCAGGAGCTTGCTGGCTACAGAACGAATGGCCTCGCTCTATGCCTTCGGCGGCCGGTTTCAACCCTCCCCCCCTGACACCACCACCATCCTTGATCGAGTGGTCGGAACCTACCTGGCTTCCTCTAAATATAAAGAGGAAGGCCGGGCTCAAAGATACATTCCTAAAAGGATACTTTATAATAAAAAGAAGCATGGAGGTGTGGGGGCTCTAGAACCATCTAGCCACCTAAAAGCCCTCAACTTTCAACGAGCAGCTCGCCGTTTCTTACTCACGCCATTTGAAGACACGGCCCGGGAATGCGTCCCCCTGCCCTACGGCCTCCATTGTTATCTGTCCCACCCGGACATTCTCAAACACTTACCAGCCTCCACTCCCCCCCGAGCCCTTGCTGAACTAAAGAGTGTTTTGGAAACACCATCCAAGGTGGCCGGCCCGCGGTTAGAACCATGGGTCCTGATGGCTGAGCCGGTTGCTTTCAGCAGATTCATTCACAAACCTGACAAAAAACCGTTCGGCAGAGTAAAGGAAGAGTTCTTCCTGCTCGAGAAACAAGTTCGCCTCGGAAAACTTCTGGTCCCGGTTCCCGGAGGGTCTCGGAAACTGACGCCTGCGGAATTTCGCACCCAATACCCGCCCAGAGACTTCCCACGTGGTCTAAGGATACTCCTGGAAATATATAAAGCCGTACCTGATGAATGGTGGGAAGTGCTTCAAGACTTCACCCCACGTCCTGATTACCTTCGGAAAGACGACTGGGCTTTCGAAGCCTCCCGGAAGACTGGCCGGCCGCAGGTGCTACGGGTTACTCAGGTCCTGGACTACGGGCTCGTGAACTTCGACTGTTACGAGGTGACTCAGGGGCGACGCGTGAACAAGACACCATTCGGACGTACTACCTTGGCTGCTGCAGACGTCATCACGGTGTGTGTGATTGAGAGCTGGCTGGCGGGTCCTTTCTGCTCAGGAGCCGCGCTCGGAGTACGACACGAGATACTACGCCAACGACCATCGCTAGCTACGATTCGGAAACATCTCTACACACCGAAGCCGCTCGACCACGTCGAAAGATGGAACGAGCTTCTCCAAACACCCATCCGGTCCTTACCAGATCTGACACATTCTTTCCTCAAAGATCAAACAAGCCGGCAGAGAGACATTCTCCTTCGATTCTATACTCGCTCCCTCCCCTGCGGCGCCAGAATGCCATACACCCCGACCAAAGGCATCTGCCCACGTTGCCACTCCAACGCTATGGAATCACATACGCACATCTTTTTCGAATGTGGAAGCGCCCCGGCTGTTACCTCCGCGCTTCAACGGGTCGCCAGTCAACACCTCCGATCGACGATTTCGCAAGAAGCAGTTTACTTTCCGCTCGCCGTACCCGCCGGAAACGTAGCCCCCTGGTGCCTCCTGGTAGGAGCTGCGGCAACCACGCTATGGAGAGACAGGTGCTCACAACGTTACGACAACGTGACCTACTCAAGCACCGAAACCCTGCATCGAATCCTGCCTTGTTCCTTACTGCCTGCAAAACCTACTTCTACCGCCGAGGCAAATTCTCCAACAAACGGAAACGCGCCACTCTCAACCGATCCCAAGCCGCCACCAAGCACAAATTTCTCCACTTCCTCCCCGACGGGTCACCCCAGCTGCACCAGGACCTTCGATCCTCCTGGCTGCTCAACAGTGCTTTCCAACCACCATAAAGGTACTGTACACTTTCGTTGTTTATCACAACATGGAGCGGGCAGTGCTCTTGCTCTGCTTGTGAACTTAGTTCAGCTCAGGAACGCTGTTCTTAGCGTAGGCCACTTGGCTTGGGTTACACCTTCTTTGCCTCTGTGTTGTCTGGGTCACGACCTTAATAAAAACTTAAAACTTGTTGTGCCTGTCCAGCTCACTTGCACTAGGACTAGTTGCTACTACCCGATGAGCTGAGTGGAAGGACTTGTAGCTACCGCATCGTCACCCCCACATTCCAGATTAGTCTCTAGCAGCCGCTCGCTTTATGGATGCGGCTGTGTCCGAACGCATAGCGCACAGCTCGCGCCGCAGCCCGGCGATCAGACTCAAATAAAATATAGTGTACACCTGAACCTCCCGTCGCATGTCCGCCACGACCGCGTCGCGCATCCGCAAGCGCCCTCCCGGGGGGCGACCAGCGCGCCCGGCGGCTCGCCGCGAGCGGAGCTGAGTCTCGCCGCGAGAGCGCGCGCACAGCACGCGCAACCCGGCGATCAGACTGAAATACCATTCGACCCTGTTTCAACCCCACCCCTCTCGCCATTTCCTGTTGCTGTAGTTGTACTTAGATACTTTCCCTCCCCTTCCGATTGCGATGGCGGCGATGGCGGGGAGCGAGGTGCATCAGACGCTGCAGGCGGCGGCGCTGCCTCTGAGTTTCCTGGTGATGAGCTCCGTGCTGCCGGTGGTGAAGGTGCTGCTCATCGCCGCCACAGGGCTCATCTTCGCGCTGCCCTACTTCGACGTCCTGCACGCCGACGCGCGCAAGAGCCTCAGTAAGGTGCGACGCGCGCAAGAGCCTTAGTGAGGTGCGCAAGAGCCTCAGTAAGGTGCGCCCGTGCGCTTGGGCAGGGTGCTGGGACGTTGAACTGTGCTAGGTGCTGGGCAGGCCGCTGGGGCTAATCGCTAAGGAAATGCGCTGCGCTAGGGCGCTGAGGCAGGGGGGGTAGGGCGGTGGAGCAGGGCATAACAGCACAGGGCATTACAGCCACTGGTCGCTATCGCCGTCGGCGGCCTAGTCCACGCGCCCCCCGTTCTCGCCGCGCTCCCTGTTCTCGCCACGCCCCCGTTTCTCGCCGCGCCCCCCGTTCTCGCCGCGCCCCCCGTTCTCGCCACGCCCCCGTTTCTCGCCGCGCCCCCGTTTCTCGCCGCGCCCCCGTTTCTCGCCGCGCCCCCCGTTCTCGCCGCGCCCCCGTTTCTCGCCGCGCCCCCGTTTTTCGCCGCGCCCCCCGTTCTCGCCGCGCCCCCGTTTCAAGCCGCGCCCCCGTTTCAAGCCGCGCCCCCCGTTCTCGCCGCGCCTCCCGTTCTCGCCGCGCTCCCCGTTCTCGCCGCGCTCCCCGTTCTCGCCGCGCCCCCCGTTCTCGCCGCGGCCCCCATTCTCCTCGCCGCCCCCCCCATTCTCGCCGCGCCGTGCTCAGAAGCGGAGGAATGCGCGCCACAGGAGTAGAGCGCTGGGGGTGGGGCGTTGGGGTTGGAACGTTGGGGGTAGGGCGTTTGGTTGGGAGGGGGAGAATAGGGCGCTGGGGATAGGCCATTGGGGGGTCGAGGAAATTAGGAATGGGGGGCAGTGGGATGAAGGAGAGGGGATGAGGAAAAGAGGGGAGCAGAAAAAGGCATGGTGAAAATGAAAAGAGGGCGACGGAGGATGAGGGACGGAGGAGGGAGACAAGTTGTAATGCGGAAGCAAAGGTGAGGAGTGGGGGCGAGCGAGGCAGGCGGTATATTAGGAAGGGAGATAGGAAGAGGTGGTTGGGGAAAGGGGTGTGGAGTTGAGGCGGGAGGGCTGTGGAGCGGAGAAGAAAGGGATGGATTGACGGAGTGGACCGCCATGGCAGAGAGGCGAGAGGTGGAGGAGAGGCGAGAGGTGGAGGAGAGGCGAGAGGTGGAGGAGAGGCGAGAGGTGGAGGAGAGAGAGGCGCGCACAGAGAGGGGCGGCGAAGGTGGTTGAGGGCAGCCCAGGGAGCATTGCTGGCAGTGCTAAGACTGTGTGTGAACCGGAGATGCAAAGCGGCAAAGCATGCCTGACACTTTGTCCATCTATGTGAGGAGAAGCATGCCTGCCTGCCTGTGCTTCCTGGCGTGCTTCACACTCAGCCACCATCCTCCTCTGTCCCCATTAATGCAATCTTCATGCCGCCCATTCGTGCCACCCGTGGTGCTGTCTCCCCTCCCCCCCCGCCCTCAGCTGGTGTTCACGGTGTTCCTGCCGGCCATCATCTTCGTCAACCTGGGCGAAGCCATCTCCTTCGAAAACCTCCTCAAATGGTAACCACGCTACCTCAGATGGTAACCACGCTAACTCAGATGGTAACCACGCTACCTCAGATGGTAACCACGCTAACTCAGATGGTAACCACGCTACCTCAGATGGTAACCACGCTAACTCAGATGGTAACCATGCTACCTCAGATGGTAACCACGCTACTCAGATGGTAACCACGCTACTTCAGATGGTAACCACGCTACCTCAGATGGTAACCACGCTACCTCAGATGGTAACCACGCTACCTCAGATGGTAACCACGCTACCTCAGATGGTAACCACGCTAACTCAGATGGTAACCAACTCAGATGGTAACCACGCTAGCTCAGATGGTAACCAACTCAGATGGTAACCACGCTAGCTCAGATGGTAACCACCTGAGATGATAACCTCCTTCCATGGTAACCCCCTTCCATGGTAACCCCCTTCCATGGTAACCCCCTTCCATGGGAACCCCCTTCCATGGTAACCCCCTTCCATGGTAATTGCCTCGGATGGTAACCACGCTACCTCAGATGGTAACCACGCTACCTCAGATGGTAACCAACTCAGATGGTAACCACGCTAGCTCAGATGGTAACCACCTGAGATGGTAACCTCCTTCCATGGTAACCCCCTTCCATGGTAACCCCCTTCCATGGTAACCCCCTTCCATGGTAACCCCCTTCCATGGTAACCCCCTTCCATGGTAACCCCCTTCCATGGTAACCCCCTTCCATGGTAACCCCCTTCCATGGTAACCCCCTTCCATGGTAACCCCCTTCCATGGTAACCCCCTTCCATGGTAACCCCCTTCCATGGTAACCCCCTTCCATGGTAACCCCCTTCCCTGGTAACCCCCTTCCATGGTAACCCCCTTCCATGGTAACCCCCTTCCATGGTAACCCCCTTCCATTCCATGGTGACCCCCTTCCATGGTAACCCCCTTCCATTCCATGGTGACCCCCTTCCATGGTAACCCCCTTCCATGGTAACCCCCTTCCATGGTAACCCCCTTCCATGGTAACCTCCTTCCATGGTAACCCCCTTCCATGGTAACCCCCTTCCATGGTAACCCCCTTCCATGGTAATCGCCTCGGATGGTAACCGCCTCAGATGGTCACCTGCTCTGTTGTTAACGGTGATATTCTGCAACCCGATTGCTGCTCAACCTCCAACTTGTTTCGCTACCTCCCTCAATCGCCTCACTTATCGCCTCACGTGTTAGCTTGCCATCCACATCCCTGCACTCCCGCGCCGCCTCAAGTCGTCACCCGCTCGTTGCCCTCCATCCTGCGCTTCCGTAGAGTCATACGAGATCACAATGCATTGTCATTTCCACCACTCGCCTCATGCTTCACTTCACACGCGAACCACGGCACGGCACAATCACACCTCCCTCCCTCCGCCACCGCTCCCCCACCCTCCCCCACCCTCCTCTCCCTCCCTCTCTCCCCCAGGTGGTTCATACCAGTGAACGTGGTGCTGGCGTCCGGGCTGGGCTGCCTGCTCGGCATGCTCGTCGCGTGGCTCACTGACTGCCCACCCGAGTTCTTCCGCCTCGTCTTCGTCCTCACAGGCATTGGTCAGGTTCTGCCCCCCACTCCGCCCCAACTTGTGCCTCTGCACTTCACCTGGATGACCGGTTTTTCACCCAGTCGCCCAACTCAACTCAAGTGTCTCAACTCAAGCCGCCCATCCCCCCTCTCATGCCCACCCATGCCCTCCCCCTCCCATGCCCACCCATGCCCCCCTCCCATGCCCACCCATGCCCCCTCCCGTTCCCACCCGTGCCCCCTCCCATGCCCACCCCTGCTCCCTCCCATGCCCACCCATGCCCCTTCCAATGCCCATCCCTGCCCCCTCCCATGCCCACCCCTGCCCCCTCCCATGCCCACCCATGCCCCCTCCCATGCCCACCCGCTTCCTCTCTCCCATTCGCACCCGCTTCTTCTCATGCCAACCCGCTTCCTCCCTCCCATTCGCCCTCCCGTCCTCCCTAACCCCGTGCTTCTCACCCCCCCCCCAGTCAACATGGGCAACATGTGACTCGCTGCTCCTCTTGCTCCCTTCTCTTCTCCCCTCCCCCCTCCCTCCTCACCTCCCCCGCACCAGGCAACATGGGCAACATGCCGTTGGTGCTGCTGTCAGCGGTGTGCTCCGATGCGCGCAACCCCTTCGGCGGCCACAACGAGTGCAACAAGCTCGGCACCGCCTACATCTCCCTCGGCATGTGGGTGCGTGCATCTCCCTCGGCATGTGGGTCCGTGCATCTCCCTCGGCATGTGGGTGCGTGCATCTCCCTCGGCATGTGGGTCCGTGCATCTCCCTCGGCATGTGGGTGCGTGCACGAGGATGTGCATGGGGGTATGGGGGTATGGTACGGGTGTATGGGGTGCATGCGTGTGTGCATGGGGGTGCATGTACGTATGCATTTAGGTGTGTGCATGGGGGTGCGTTTACGTATGCATTTAGGTGTGTGCATGGGGGTGCATGTACGTATGCATTTAGGTGTGTGCATGGGGGTGCGTGCGTGTGTGCATGGGGGTGCGTGTACGTATGCATTTAGGTGTGTGCATGGGGGTGCATGTACGTATGCATTTAGGTGTGTGCATGGGGGTGCATGCGTGTGTGCATGGGGGTGCGTGTACGTATGCATTTAGGTGTGTGCATGGGGGTGCGTGTACGTATGCATTTAGGTGTGTGCATGGGGGTGCGTGTACGTATGCATTTAGGTGTGTGCATGGGGGATCGCTCTAGCATTCCCTCCGCATATGTGGTTGGATGCATTTCTCCCCGCCGCCTTCCCTTTCTCACCCCATCTCCCCTCGTCCTTTCCCACCTCCTCTCTTTCTCTTCCCATCTCCCTTCGTCGTGTCCATCTCCTTCCATATCTCCTCCTCTCTCTCCCCTCCTCCTACCATACATCAATCCCCCATTTACCTTATCACTGCACCCGTCTCTTCCCCTCCTCTCCTCGCCATCACCACCAGCGTTTCTTCCCCCTCTGTGTCTACACCGCTCACAACCCCCCTTCTATCTGCTCCTCTCACCGCATGTGGCCTCAGAGACTGGCCAGTGTGGTGGGGACCACTACGGTCCACAACATCCTGCCGTTCCCTCATTCCGCCCTTTGCTCCCCCGTGCTGCACCCCTCCGCATCTGCTCCCACCCACACCACGGGCCATACTGATGTGGATTGCAGTTTAATCCACAACCCCTTCGTCCCTGCTGTGCCTATCCCTTTCCCCGTGCGCCCCTTTTGCCGCATCTGTCCACAGCAATACTCATGTGGAGCATGCACGATGTGCAACCGCCTTCGTCCCTGCTGTGTCTACCACCCCACCCTCTCCCCAACTCCCCTGCTCCCCTCGCCACGTCGCAACGCAGAACGTGGCGATAGTGATGTGGTGGAGCATGGCATGGTATACAACATCCTCGCCCTCGTTCCCCGTCGTGACCCCGCCCTCTCCTCCATTGTCTTGTTCTGCTTCCCTGTGCAGATGGCAGCCATACTGATGTGATGTGAACGCCGCTCTGCACAATCCTGCCTCTCCATCCTGCCATCACCACCCCTCCTCTCCTTTTGCTCCACCCCGACATCTCGCCCACAGACGGTGGCCATAGTGATATGGAGCTCGGTTTATAACATTCTGGCGCCCCATCCCCATTGTGGTCACCACTCCCAACACACCCCCCGCCCTCTCCCCACCCTCCCCCGCCCGATCTCACCCACAGATGGCGGCGATAGTGATGTGGAGCACGGTCTACAACATCCTGGCGCCCCCCGAGGAGTGGTTACCAGGTTACGTGCGGCCCTTGGACCACTTCGGCATCGACCACAAGTACGTGGACGCGCCCATGGTGCCGTACCAGGAGGAGGACGACAGCGACACTGACGACGGCGAGGCGGACGGGGAGGTGGGGGGCGAGGAGGGGTGGGAGGTGCCGGGTGGGTGGGAGGCGGCGCTGGGCGTGGGCGTGGAGGCCGTGTCGTCGCGCCCGCTGGCGCCGGGGGAGGGCAGGCGTGCGCACCACACTACTGCTGCTGCCGGGGGCGGTTCTGGTGGTGCTACTGCTCATGGCAATGCCGGGCTGCACACACCGCTGCTAGCAGGCACACCAGCAGCAGCAGCAGCGGTGACAGAGGGGCGCATGGGGGCAGCGGTGCCGCGGCTGGGCAGTGCAGGCGGCGTGGTGGAGGCGGGGCAGCAGCGCGGTGAGGGGTCGGTGCGAGGGGGGCGTGTGTTTGGCGGCGGCAGCCTCGGCAGCAGCGTGGCTCGCACGGCTTCCCGGTCACTGAGGAAAGCATCGGTGGCGCTGCTCGTGCGCGCTCCCAACACGGTGAGCTGTGAGCCACGTGTGCATGCCTAACACGATGGGAAGCCATGATCTGCCGCAGCAGGCAAAGTGAGGCAGGTGCTGCGGAAGGCGTCTGTGGCGCTGCTCGTGCGCGCCCCCAACACGGTGAGCAGCCAGGAGCTGCCAAAGCAGGCAGATTCAGGCGCATCAGCAGAGTGTGTGGTGCAGAGCCGCACAGCACAGGTTCCGGCCTTACATATGCACGTGTCACTCGTCCCTCCTTGTTCCCCTCGCTCCCGCATCCATCTCTGAAAGGTGCTCTCAAGTCTTCAGCTTCTTCCTTGCTCCTTTCGCTGTGCTCCCTCCCCTGTGTGTGTGCGGGCGCGCGCGCACGCACGTGCGTGCGTGTGTGCGTGAGTGCGTGTGCGTGCATGCGTGTGCGTGCGTGCGTACGTGTGTGTGAGTGCATGTGTGTGCGTGAGTGAGTGAGTGCATGCATGGCAGGTGGGAGAGGTGCTCAAGGCGTTGCACATTTACGATGTCTTCCGCCCGCCCGTCCTCGCTGCTGTACGTCCCTCTCTGCCATACCCAGCCTGGCCGGTTTGGTTCAGGCCGGCCGGAGGCCCATGCTCGTCCCAACTAAGCCCATGCTTCCTTCCCATGCTGCATTACGCTCGTGCTGCGTTTGCCCCACGGTCTCCTGATTGCCCTTTTTGAGAATTCTCAAAAGTAATACGGTTTTGATGAATTGGTGGGACTGCATGAACCTTACAAGTCAATTCAAGTTCCAAGCATGCATTCTCGTTCCCACAGCCGTCGCCATCCCCATCCCCTCATGTCCCCGGCCAGTGTCAGCTGGATTTCCTCTTCTTCCTCCGCGACAGGGCCCTTTTGTGTCACCTTCCCCTGTCTCCCTTCTTGCACCGCGACGGCGCCCTTGCTTGTCACCCATTGCCCTCGTCTCCTCCCATCCGCCCCACTCTTCATTCCCCCAACACCCCACCCTCCCCCCAGTGTCTGGCAATGCTACTGGGCATGGTGCCGCAGCTGGACTTCCTCTTCTTCCACCGTGACGGCGCTCTGCGCTTCCTCACTGACGCCCTCGCCGTGCTGGGGTCAGTGCTGCCTGTCCTGTGCTGCTGCGTGGGGTGGGGTCAGTGCTGCTGTGCGTGCTGAGTCATATCCGCCTCTCACTGCGCAATGATGCGGGAACATTTTCCTGTACACGTCAATGCTGCTGCTCACACCGGCTCCATCTCTTGCGTGGGCCAACACATGTGATCAGATTCTCTCCCTTCCTCTAACTTCTCTCCCTTCCTCTATCTTCTCTCCCTTTTTCTACCGCGCGTGTGTGTGTCGCGCCTTACCCACAGCCAGGCCATGATTCCCTGCATTCTGCTGGTTCTCGGCGCCAACCTCGTCAAGGGTCAGTGCAGTCGTGCGGTGTCGAGTTGCTGTGCTGAGCCGCTGTGGTGGTGTTTCGATCTGCTGAGATTCGTTGGGATTCCTAGTGGACAAGTCATCGTTGGGTCAGAGTGCCCCTATTGGCTTGCCCAGCAGCGCCAGCAGTACCATTGCACTCAGCTATCTAGCATGCGGAATTTCCATTTGTCTGGCAGATGCATTCGCAAGAGATCTCGCATGTTCTATACAACCCTGTCTTGCCATGCGTCACCCACCCGCCACCCTCGCCCACACAAGGCTCTAAAGCTCTCCAGCTATCATGCCATCCACACTGTCTCCAAGCCTCCAACCATTCTCATGAACCTCAAGGCATCGCCCTCTCCTCTCCGAGTGTATTTTGAGTCGACTGAAAGTACACCCTCGCCCTTCCCACAGGTCCTGGGGCGTCCGCACTGCCGATACGCACGACGCTAGCGGTGGTGGTGACGCGGCTGGTGGTGGTGCCGCTGCTGGGCATCGCCATTGTGCTGTCCGCCGACCGCCTGGGGCTGCTGCCCCCGGGCGACAAGATGTTCCGCTTCGTGCTGCTGCTGCAGCATGCCATGCCCTCGTCCATCCAAATAGGTGCGAGAGGAGGGGTGTGAGAGGAGGGGTGTGAGAGGAGGGGTGTGAGAGGAGGGGTGTGAGAGGAGGGGTGTGAGAGGAGGGGTGTGAGAGGATGGGTGTGAGAGGATGGGTGTGAGAGGATGGGTGTGAGAGAATGGGTGTGAGAGGATGGGTGTGCGAGGATGGGTGTGAGAGGAGGGGTGTGAGAGGAGGGGTGTGAGAGGATGGTGTGAGAGAATGGGTGTGAGAGGATGGGTGTGCGAGGATGGGTGTGAGAGGATGGGTGTGAGAGGATGGGTGTGAGAGGATGGGTGTGAGAGGATGGGTGTGAGAGAATGGGTGTGAGAGGATGGGTGTGCGAGGATGGGTGTGAGAGGATGGGTGTGAGAGGATGGGTGTGAGAGGATGGGTGTGAGAGGATGGGTGTGAGAGAATGGGTGTGAGAGGATGGGTATGCGAGGATGGGTGTGAGAGGATGGGTGTGCCAGGGGTGTGCCACGGGTGTGCCACGGGTGTGCCACGGGTGTGCCACGGGTGTGCCAGGGGTGTGCCAGGGGTGCATGACGCTATGCATGCTGAACCATTGGTGTTCATGTGACGGGTGTGCTGCTGCAGCATGCCATGCCCTCGTCCATTCAGATAGGTGTGAATGATAGGAGTGCCGGGGTGTGCCGAGGCCGCATCCACGCAGGCATGCTGGCCCATGGCCGCTCATATCATGCTTGTGTCCCTGCGCAACCTTCACATCTACCTTACTTTTGAAGACCCTGTGTTTTTGGCATGCAGGCACGGCGTGCAGTCTGAGGGGGTTTGGAGAGCAGGAGGTATCAGCGGTGCTCTTCTTTCAGCACATATCAGCTGTCTTCACCATGGCTGTCTACCTCTTCATCTTCTTCTACCTCCTCTACGGCTGACTGACCTCTCTGCTGCAATGCCCACATGTCTCAGCCTCAGCAGCACCAAAGTACTCAGGGAAACCCTAAAAGAAACTTGAGAGGGGTTAACAACATTTCGAGTAAGACGAGATTCTTCGAGTCTGCAAGCAGTCAGTGACGAGATCTACAATTTGGTGAATTTCAACAAAAATCCGTACATGCCGTTTAGGATCCTTGTGTATTTCATTTCATTTGCGCTCCTTTGTGTAAGATGTGGTAGTCTTAATGAGGTGTGTTATAGGGGGTACAACTGTTAGGGTTAGGTTTATGTACCCCAACCAACCTTAGTCAAACCAACACTTTCATTCTTGACATGGTATCACCTAGGTTAGGATCAGGGCCTATTTTTCAAGGGTATTTTACCCTTTTTGCCCTGACCATAGGCCGCTTTTTCCCAGTTACCCTTGCCAAATCAGCCTAAGGAAACTTTTACCCTTGCGTGAAAAGTTCATTGTTTCAACTACACTGGTACGAATTTTTTTTACCTTGGCTGTATCAGGGTACGATGCCAACTACACTGATACCGAATCTATTTTTATCGCGAATCCAGCTGCCAGTGCCCCTGTTACAGGAAACAGTTTCTGGGGTTTCGAAATTCTCGCCAATTTCGATAGTCTTCCCCCCCCCCCAAACAATCGATCGAGGGGGGAGGGGAGGCAAATTCTCGCCAATTTCGTCCCCCCCCTCACAAACAATCGATCGAGGGGGGAAGGGAGGCGAAATTCTCGCCAATTTCGTTAGCCCCCCCTTTCCCCCCTGCCCTCCCCCCCTCCACACAAACAATCGATCGAGGGGGGTGTAGTTGTTGTGATTGCAGTGGTTGTTTAAGTATTTGGACTGGTAATTGAGAAATGTATGTCTTGGATTTTTTGCACTAAAATCAGGGTCTCAACATTATTACCCTGATACAATCAGTGTATGAGAAGTTTTACCCTGCTGCCATCAGGGTACGGAAATTTTTACCCTAGGGGTCAGGGTACTGGGGGCCTAATACCCTGATTAGCAAGAGTGGCCCAAAACCAATTTTGGGCCCTGGTTAGGATCCTGTGGGATCCCGTTCCTCTCGTTCACGTCCGTAGCGCCCGAGCCTGTCCCGTACCCTAGTGCCCATCACGCCCCTAGCGCGTAATCGACTGTTACCGCTGCGCCTGTTTCGTCCCGTCGCGCCCTTAGCGCGTGCCCGTTCCGTTCCGAAGCGCCCGTAGCGCTAGCACTCCCCGTAGCGTCACGTCCCCTGCCCGTCCCGTCCTCTGCCCGTCCCGTCCCCTGCTCGTCCCGTCCTCTGCCCGTCCCGTCTCCTGCCCGTCCCGTCCCCTGCCCGTCGCGTCCCCTGCCCGTCGCGTCCCCTGCCCGTCACGTCCCCTACCCGTCGCGTCCCCTGCCCGTCGCGTCCCCTGCCCGTCGCGTCCCCTGCCCGTCGCGTCGCGCTGCCAGTCCCGTCCCCTGCCCGTCGCGTCCCCTGCCCGTCGCGTCGCGCTGCCAGTCCCGTCCCCTGCCCGTCGCGTCACGCTGCCGTCCCGTCCCCTGCCCGTCGCGTCCCCTGCTCGTCGCGTCGCGCTGCCGTCCCGTCCCCCGTCCGTCGCGCCCCTGCTGCGCCCTGCCCGTCCGTGGCGCCCCGTGCGCCCTGCCCGTCCGTCGCGCCCCCACTGCGCCCTGCCCGTCCGTCGCGCCCCGAGCGCCCTGCCCGTCCGTCGCGCCCCGTGCGCCCTGCCTGTTCGTCGCGCCCCGTGCGCTCTGCCCGTCCGCGCCTGTCGTGCCCGTCCCTGCCAGTTGCGTCCTGTCACGTCGTACCGCACTGTCTGTCACGCTCTACGCAGGCCCTTCAGTCGTTTAGGGTTTCGGCAACAGCAGTTCCCACCCCTTCGCTACCGCTATGGCGACCCCTAGGGTTCTGCGCTTTGACGCCGAGGGTAGGCCGCTTGAGTTCTCCGTCTCGCTCCTGCGTGCGCGCCGCCTTTTAGAGAATCAGGTTCAGGCAGATGAGTCTCTGTGGGCGCACGCTTCTGGCGACCTTCCTAAGCCCGACGATCCTGCACCTTTAGGCACTGACCCTAGCGATGCAGCCAGAGATCGTTATGCCCGCCAGCGTGCTGACCTCACAGCGTGGAAGTCGCGTGACGCTGCGGCCTGCATCGCCCTCAGCAGCCTCCTCCCTGAGTCTGAGGAGGCCCGCTTTACTCAGGTTCGCTCGGCTAGTGAGTTCCTGACTGCGATCAAGGCCCGCTACGCTACTCCCACCACTGTCTCTCTTGGTCGCATGTTCCTCCCGTTCCTGTTTCCTGACCTCGCCTCGTTTGAGCGCTCTGTTGACTTGATCGCTCACTTGCGCTCGCTCGATTCCAGCTATCGCGCTGCCTGCATAGACGAACAGCTTGCACTGCTCCCTCCCCCTATGGCGATTACTATCTATTTCATCGCCACTAGCCTCCCTGACCGCCTTGCCTCGGTTCGTGACGCGCCCTAGCGAGCTCACTATCGAGGTCCTTGAGTCTGCCCTCAAGGACGTCGAGAGCAACCTCCGCTCGGTTGCCTCCACCTCTGGTGCTGTGCCCCCTCCACTGTTTCACGGGTGCACTGTCCCTCAGATGCCCACCTTTACTACCTCCCTTGCCACTGCCGCTACTGACGTGACCGCAGCTGCTGTTATGACTTCTTCGCGGTCTAGGGGTAGGAGCGGTAGGAGAGGCAGTCAGGGTGCGGGCGGAGGTGGCGGAGGCGGTGGGGGTGACGTGGCGAGCGGCGGCGGCGGGAGTGCAGGGGCTGGAGGAGCGCCTCGTGCAGTGGCTGGTGACTCCCCTGCTGCAGCTGGTGGAGGTGACGCCCGGGTTCGTCAGCCACCTACTGGTCTGCCAACTGCAGGGGGTGGAGCAGCGGCGTGGTACCTGACTCAGCGACAGCAGCAGCAGCAGCAGCCCCTCCCCTCGCAGCAGCCACAGCAGCAGCAGCGGCAGCAGCAGGCTCCGGGGCAGGGGTCTGGACTGCGTCAGCTGTCGCGTGGTGCCGTCCACCCTCCCTGCACCTATCTCGTTCAGACAGGTACTCGCCGAGGCCTCCCCTGTGGCCGCACCCACCCACCTGGTCAGTGCTTTGCTCACATCACTGACACACTTCGTGCGGCCTACGGGGTTGACGGCCCTGCCCCTGACTGGCTTCCCCTTGTTCAGCGATACGGCCCCGCTCTGTGGGGCATGTTGGCTTCTCAGTTGCTTGATCTCTTAGGAACTCCTCATGCTATGTATGCTGTTGTTGACTCTAGTGCTTCTGACTCGGTGTACTCGAGTGTTGTTAGCTTAGGTGCTTGTGTTGCTGAGGTGCCTGTTTCTAGCGTAGGTACTTGTGTAGACACTAGTCTAGTAGCTGCTTCGGAGGACACTTCGCTGTCGTTCACTCAGGACTCCGGAGCTTCGCACTGTTTCTTCCGCGACCACACGACGCTTACTCCGCTTCCTGCGCCGGTCTCTGTAGCACTGGCTGATCCCAATTCGGGACCAGTCACTGCTCGCTACACTACTACGCTTCCGTGCCCAGCAGTTCCCTCGGGTTTCCTGACGGGCTTCCACGTCCCCTCGTTCTCCAGGAACTTGGTGGGTGTGAGGCCGCTCGTGAGTAGTCACGTGGGTGTGTGGATTGAGCCTTCTGGCAAGACTGCGGTTTGTGTCGACGGGAACACGTACGCGCCACTGGCCACCTTTACCGCTGAGCCGGGCTCTGGTCTCTACACACTTCACACTGGCCCTCGGCAGCAGCAGCAGCAGCAGCAGCGGCAGCAGCAGCAGCAGCGGCAGCAGCGGCAGCAGCAGCAGCAGCAGCATCAGCAGCAGCAGCAGCAGCAGCAGCAGCAGCAGCAGTAGCAGCAGCAGCCGCGGCAGCAGCAGCAGCAGCTACTGCCCCCGACCGCTGTCACTGCCCCCCGTCAGGTCCCCCCGTCTCACCAGGTTGCCGCTTCTCACCAGGTAGCTGTGTCTGGCCAGGTCCCCATGTCTGGTCCAGTTGCTGCGTCTTTCTCCTGCCGGTCACTTGCCCACCCCACCGTTCTGTGGCACCACCGGATGGGGCACCCGTCCATTCCTCGCATGCGCGCTATGTCTAGTCAGTGTCTTGTCTTAGGCCTCCCGCGAGACTTGCCGTCGCTGCCGCCTTCGCTTGCACCACCTTGCGGTCCCTGCGTCGAGGGTCGGCTGCGCGCCACCCCTCACTCCTCCTCCCTTCGTCCGGCCACCGAGCCCTTCGAGACTCTCCACTTGGACGTCTGGGGCCCCACCCCTCGCCCTGGCCCTGAGCGAGAGAGTTTCTTTCTGGTGGTCGTTGACGACTACTCTCGCTACACCACAGTGTTCCCCCTGGCGAAGAAGTCTGAGGTGACATCTACGCTGATCCGGTGGTTACTTACCACTGCGGACACTCGTGGTCGTCGTGTCAGCTGTCTTCACTCCGACCGTGGGGGTGAGTTTCGCTCCGGCATTCTCGCTGGACTCTGTCGCGAGCAGGGCATCCGTCAGTCCTGGACGCTTCCAGAGTTCCCACAGCAGAATGGGGTTGCTGAGCGCCGCATAGGCTTGGTCATGGAGATTGCACGCACCTCCATGATCCACGCCCGTGCGCCCCATTTTCTGTGGCCTTACGCGGTTCGGTACGCCGCTCACCAGCTGAACCTCTGTCCACGTGTCTCTCGGCCAGAGGCTTCACCGACCAGTCTTTGGACCGGGTCCCCTGGTGTTGCGTCGCGTTTTCGTGTCTGGGGCTGCTTGGCGCTTGTTCGCGACACCTCCGCGGATAAGCTCTCCCCTTGCGCCCTTCCATGTGTCTTCCTTGGTTTCCCCGTGGACTCCTCTGACTTCACCTTTTACCACCCTCCCCTTCAGCGGTTCTTTGACTCCCGCGACGTTCGTTTTGTCGAGTCAGTCCCCTACTCCACCCGGTACCCCTGTCGAGGTCTTTCGGTTCCTCCTCCCCCTCTCTTCCTGACTCCCGCCCCCCCT